TTCTAGCAGAAAAAGCTACTTGTTCTTTAACTAGCAATCTTTCAATGTACTGATATTTCAAAAAAACTTCTTACCATTTTTCAAAAAAAAGTAAGCTACAGTGGACATATATTTTTTTTATTGAGTTCTGATGCTCACTTTTTCTAGTTTCCAACTTTCAAATTAAACCACAGGGAATCCTTTGAAGATTAAGACATGCAAGGTGCCATTGTTGACCTCATTCTAAAAATGTTTGACATATTGTTTTAAGTCAATGACAAAGACAATCATTGATTAGGAGGATCAGTCGAGATTCCAGCCTACCATCAACAAAATTTCATGTTCTCCTTTTACGTGCTGCTGTAATAGTTTCTTTATGTTGACTTCCTCCTCCCAGGGCCAGGTTTAAAAAAACTGAAGAAAGCTCTTTGGAAAAAAGTAGCGAGAAGTTCAGTGTTATGGATATTGGCTGAGTGTTTAGCTAGTTTCTCACCATGTCCTTTGGGAAGTTCAGAGACTAAAGCCACTGGCTGCTTTCACAAAGCATTATTTGAATCAAGCGATAGGGGTTCCCATCAACATTGGTAAGCTAAACTCTTCAAAGCAGAAGATATAGCTTTCTCCCACAATTTGGAATTGCTACAGATGTGATGTTTTTCAAGCTTGGAAACACATTCCCAACTTGCTGCTGTAAGTCCCATGACTGAGAGGAAGCTCCTAGGCGTTTCCTAGCTCAATTCAGAATACTCTCAACCTCCGATTTTGCACAATCACCTGTCTACAGCTCTCTTTTGGGAGGAAAGTGCAATATTGCTATTTCAAAATCATCAATGTTCTTTACTTTAACAAGCCTCTACATGAAAAAAAAAAGTGTCCTGATCTACGGAAAAAGAAAAATCACGAAACCTCTGCCGTAACATGTGTCGTGTAAATATTGAAGAGACACAATACAGATTAATATGAAAAATGTATTGATGAAACAGGCAGTATTCTCATTTTTTAAATATATTGACCAAGATGAAATTCCCCTTTTGGCTTTTTGTCCTTTACATGGGGAAAAAGTAAGAGAAGCATGCATCTGGAAGCGTGTAGTAAGATGATGGTCTGAAAGGCCAACAGATTTCGAAGCATAAAAATCTACAATGTTCTTTGGCTTGCAATCTTTCAATGTACTGATATTTCAAACATACATTCTTACCATTTTTCAAAGCAAAAAGTAAGCTAAAGTGGAAAGATATTTTTCATAGAGTTCTGATGCTCGATTTTTCTAGTTTCCAACCTTCAAATAAGTCCACAGGGAATCCTATGAAGATGAATAAATGCAAGGTGTCATTGTTGACCTCGTTCTGAAAATATTTTGACATATTGTTTTATGTCAATCAATGACAAAGAGCCATCATTGATTAGGAGGATCATTCAAGATACAAGTCCACCGTCAACAAAAATTCATTTTCTCGTTCTACGTGCTTTTGTAAGAGTTTCTTATGTTGACTTCCCTCCCAGGGCCAGGTTTAAAAGAAGTGCAGAAAGCTCTTTTTGAAAAAGTAGGAGAAAGTTCAGTGTTGAGGATATTGGCAGAGTGCTTTAGTACTTTCTCACAATGTCCTTTGGGAAGGTCTGAGACTAAAGCCACTGGCTGCTTTCACAAAGCATTATTTGAATCAAGCGATAGGGGTTCCCATCAACCTTGGTAAGCTTGGTTCTTCAAAGCAGAAGATGTAGCTCTCCCTCACAATATGAAATTGCTACAGATGTGATGTTGTCAAGCTTGGAACAGACTCACGGCTGGCTACTGTAAGTCCAATGACTGAGAGGAAGCTCCCAGGTGTTTCCTAACCAATTCAGACTACTCTCTCTCCACTTTTGCACAATCGCCTTTCTACAGCTCCCTTTTGAGAGGAAAATGCAAAGTATTTCAAAATCAACAATATTATTAACTTCACCAAGCCTGTACAAGAGAAAAAAAAAAGTCCTGATTAGTGAAAAAGAGAAAAATCAAAACCTCTGCCATAACATGTTGTAAAATATTGAAGAGACCAATACGTTAATATGAAAAATGTATTGATGAAACAATCGGTATTCTCTTTTTTAAATCTATTTATCAAGGTGAAAATCCGCTTTTGGCTTTTGGGCCTTTACCTGGGAAAAAGTAAAAGAAGCAGCATATATCTGGAAAGTGTTGTCAGAAGAGGTCTGAAAGGCCAACAGATTTTTCTAGCAGAAAAAGCTACTTGTTCTTTAAACTAGCAATCTTTCAATGTACTGATATTTCAAAAAAACTTCTTACCATTTTTCAAAAAAAAGTAAGCTACAGTGGACATATATTTTTTTATTGAGTTCTGATGCTCGCTTTTTCTAGTTTCCAACTTTCAAATTAAACCACAGGAATCCTTTGAAGATTAAGACATGCAAGGTGCCATTGTTGACCTCGTTCTGAAAATATTTTGCATATTCTTTTATGTCAATGATACAAGACAGCCATTGATTAGGAGGATCATTCAAGATACAAGTCCACCGTCAACAAAAATTCATTTTCTGTTCTATGTGCTTTTGTAAGAGTCTCCTTATGTTGACTACCCTCCTCCCAGGGCCAGGTTTAAAAGAACTGCAGAAAGCTGTTTTGAAAAAGTAGGAGGAAAGTTCAGTGTTATGAGGATACTGGCAGAGTGCTTTAGCTAGTTTCCTCACAATGTCCTTTGGGAAGTTCAGAGACTAAAGCCACTGGCTGCTTTCACAAAGCATTATTTGAATCAAGCGATAGGGGTTCCCATCAACATTGGTAAGCTAAACTCTTCAAAGCAGAAGATATATAGCTTTCTCCCACAATTTGGAATTGCTACAGATGTGATGTTTTCAAGCTTGGAACACATTCCCAACTGGCTGCTGTAAGTCCCATGACTGAGAGGAAGCTCCTAGGCGTTTCCTAGCTCAATTCAGAATACTCTCAACCTCCGATTTTGCACAATCACCTGTCTACAGCTCTCTTTTGGGAGGAAAGTGCAATATTGCTAATTCAAAATCATCAATGTTCTTTACTTTAACAAGCCTCTACATGAAAAAAAAAAGTGTCCTGATCTACGGAAAAAGAAAAATCACGAAACCTCTGCCGTAACATGTCGTGTAAATATTGAAGAGACAAACAGATTAATATGAAAAATGTATTGATGAAACAGAGTATTCTCATTTTTTAAATATATTGACCAAGATGAAATTGTGAAAAATTTGCCTGAATACATGTTGTAAACATTTCCAATATCCTTTACCTTTATCCGGCTTGGCTTTTGGGCCTTTACCTGGGGAAAAAGTAAGAGAAGCATGCATCTGGAAAGTGTTGTAAGATGGTCTGAAAGGCCAACAGATTTCGAAGCATAAAAATCTACAATGTTCTTTGGCTTGCAATCTTTCAATGTACTGATATTTCAAACATACATTCTTACCATTTTTCAAAGCAAAAAGTAAGCTAAAGTGGAAAGATATTTTTCATAGAGTTCTGATGCTCGATTTTTCTAGTTTCCAACCTTCAAATAAGTCCACAAGGAATCCTATGAAGATGAATAAATGCAAGGTGTCATTGTTGACCTCGTTCTGAAAATATTTTGCATATTCTTTTATGTCAATGATACAGGCAGCCATTGATTAGGAGGATCATTCAAGATACAAGTCCACCGTCAACAAAAATTCATTTTCTCGTTCTACGTGCTTTTGTAAGAGTCTCCTTATGTTGACTACCCTCTCCCAGGGCGAGGTTTAAAAGAAGTGCAGAAAGCTGTTTTGAAACCGTGGAGGAAAGTTCAGTGCTGAGGATACTGGCAGAGTGCTTGGGTCACTCCTCACAATGTCCTTGGGGAAGGTCTGAGACTAAAGCCACTGGCTGCTCTCACAGAGCATTGCTTGAATCAAGCAAGTGGGTTCCCATCAACCTTGGTAAGCTTGGTTCTTCAAAGCAGAAGATGTAGCTCTCCCTCACAATATGAAATTGCTACAGATGCGATGTTGTCAAGCTTGGAACAGACTCACGGCTGGCTACTGTAAGTCCAATGACTGAGAGGAAGCTCCCAGGTGTTTCCTAACCCAATTCAGACTACTCTCTCTCCACTTTTGCACAATCGCCTTTCTACAGCTCCCTTTTGAGAGGAAAATGCAAAGTATTTCAAAATCAACAATATTATTAACTTCACCAAGCCTGTACAAGAGAAAAAAAAAAGTCCTGATTAGTGAAAAAGAGAAATTGTGAAACCGCTGCCATAACATGTTGTAAACATATTGAAGAGGCCAATACGTTAATATGAAAAATGTATTGATGAAACAATCGGTATTCTCTTTTTTAAATCTATTTATCAAGGTGAAAATCGCTTTTGACTTTTGGGCCTTTACCTGGGAAAAAGTAAAAGTAGCATATATCTGGAAAGTGTTGTCAGGAAGGTCTGAAAGGCCAACAGATTTTTCTAGCAGAAAAAGCTACTTGTTCTTTAACTAGCAATCTTTCAATGTACTGATATTTCAAAAAAACTTCTTACCATTTTTCAAAAAAAAATGTAAGCTACAGTGGACATATATTTTTTTATTGAGTTCTGATGCTCACTTTTTCTAGTTTCCAACTTTCAAATTAAACCACAGGGAATCCTTTGAAGATTAAGACATGCAAGGTGCCATTGTTGACCTCATTCTAAAAATGTTTGACATATTGTTTTAAGTCAATGACAAAGACAGTCTTTGGTTAGGAGGATCAGTCGAGATGCCAGCCTACCATCAACAAAATTTCATTTTCTCCTTTTACGTGCTGCTGTAATAGTCTCTTTATGTTGACTTCCTCCTCCCAGGGCCAGGTTTAAAAGAACTGAAGAAAGCTCTTGGAAAAAGTAGAGAGAAGTTCTGTGTTATGTATTAGAGATGAGCGAAAGTATTCAAAAATTCGATTCGGCTGATTCGGCGAGCATGCGGAATAAATTAGATTCGAGTCGAATATACATTCGCTGCGAATTTAACTTATAAAAAGGGTGTTTCTAGGCTTCAGAGAGCCTTTATATTAGTGCAGAACACTGTACCTTTAATTTAAATGCCCTTGGAGTCTGCTGGGGAAGAGAAATAATACTGTCAGTCAGTATGACATGCAGATGAGTTGCCGTCGATCTTAGAGCACCGGGAGGCACACTTCACTCATTTGGGCAGTCACGGGGGCAAAGCCAGAGTGTGGAGCCACAGTGTGGCATGGTGGAGGCAGCAGCAATGGGAGGCCAATACAGCACCCTATGACAAAATGGAACCCACCAGCAGTGTGAGGAGACCTGAAAGTGGCACATGGCAGAGTGTGGCGATGGAGACAGCAGCAATGGGAGGCCGTACAGGGACCCATGAGACACTCTGGACCTGGCAGCAGCATGAGGAGGCGGTACGGGGGCCCATGGCAGATTAGGGCCTGGCAGCAGCAATGGGAGGCCCGTAATCTGCCAGCACCCTATGACAAAATGGAACCCACCAGCAGTGTGAGGAGACCTGAAAGTGGCACATGGCACAGTGTGTGCGATGGAGACAGCAGCAATGGGAGGCCGTACAGGGACCCATGAGACACTCTGGACCTGGCAGCAGCATGAGGAGGCGGTACAGGGGCCCATGGCAGATTACGGGTCTGGCAGCAGCATGAGGAGTCGGTACGGGGGCCCATGGCAGATTACGGGCCTGGCAGCAGCAATGGGAGGCCCGTAATCTGCCAGCACCCTATGACAAAATGGAACCCACCAGCAGTGTGAGGAGACCTGAAAGTGGCACATTGCACAGTGTTGGCGATGGAGACAGCAGCAATGGGAGGCCATACAGGGACCCATGAGACACTCTGGACCTGGCAGCAGCAAGAGGAGGCGGTACAGGGGCCCATGGCAGAGTAGCGAAGCGTAAGCAGCTTAAATTGAAGGCCATACAGAGGCCTATGTTAAAAATAATAACATGTTTGGGGCATGATTCATGGCGGATTTAGTCAGTTGTGTCAGGAACTGGTGGTTTGAAATCCAGACTAATCCACGCCTGATTCATTTTCACAAACGTGAGTCTCTCCACACTTTGGGTGGACAGTCGTGTCCTCCGCGGAGTTACAATACCTCCTGCCGCACTAAACACGCGCTCCGATGCCACGCTACTGGCCGGGCATGACAGCCTTTCAAGGGCAAATTCAGCTAGTTGGGCCAAAGGTCAAGTTTCGTTGCCCAGTAGTCAAGGGGATTGTCTACCTCGGTTGGCAGGGTGCTGTCCAAGTAGGCCCAAGCCTGTTGTTTGAGGTCCTGCTCCAGGTCCACCTGATGCTGCTGCTGCTGCGGCTGGTTAGTAGTTTCCTCACTGCGCTGGTGAAGAAAGCTACTCATCATCGACTGCAGACTGAGGCAGCCGCTGCTGGTGGAGCTGCCACTGCTCCTACCACCCCACCCCTCCCCTGCTGCCATGGCAGCGAAACGCGAGCGCACAGGGCCCACAGTGTCTGAGGATGGACGTTGGCGCAGAAAGGCAGAGACCAACTGACTACATAGGTGGTGGTTTTTATAGTACGTTATTTTGGCCTCCCTCTCAGCAGGTGTGAAAAAGGCCACCATTTTTGAACGGTAGTAGGAGGGTCCAACAAGGTGGACAGCCAAAAGTCATCCCTCTGTCTGATGGTTATTATTCGGCTGTCGCTACGCAAGCAACCGAGCATGCTATGGGCCATTTGTGCCAAAGAATGCGAGGGACTCCCTGCCTCCATCTCCACAGCATACTGCCACGGTGCGTCTGGGTCCTCTGTCTCCTCCTCCTCCTCTACCAGATGCTCCTGCTCCTCCACTCCTGTCCGCTGAGTGGAAAAAAACCACCCATTTCACTCAATAATTCCTGAGCACCAATGTCCTCCTCTACCTCCTCCTCTTCTTCCTGTCCTGCCCCCACAGGGGTCATGTGGCGTTGAGATCTGTGCGCCACGTCTACCGCACCCTGACCAGCCATTGTTAACAGCATTTGTTCCAGGACGTGCAACAGAGGAATGACGTCGTTCATCATCCATAGTCCTGCCGACTCACGAATAGCGTGGCCTCCTCAAAGGGCCTGAGCAAGCGGCAGGTGTCACGCATGAGCTGCCAATGGCTGACATCGAAGTTACACAGGGGAGTACCTTTATCCGCTTGTAACATCAGGAAATCGGTGATGGCCTTTCGCTGTTCGTAAAGGCGGGTCTAACATGTGTAGGGTTGAATTCCACCTTGTTGCAACGTCGCAGATCAGGCGATGCTGTGGAATTCCGTTCTGCCGCTGCAGCTCAAGGAGGGTGTGCTTTGCGGTGTGTAGGAATGGCTGAAATGCATGCAAAGTTTACGTGACATTTTAAGGATGTCTTGCAGTGGGATGGTGGATTTTAGGAACCGCTTGACAACCAGATTGAACACGTGAGCCATGCATGGCGCATGGCACAACCTTCCTTGACGCAGAGCAGACACCATGTTCTTTCCGTTGTCGGTCAACATGGTTCCGATTTTCAGTTTGCGCGGAGACAGCCATCTGTCGATTTCTCTGTTCATTACACTCAGAAGTTCCTCCCCTGTGTGACTACGTTCGCCAAGGCATACCAGGTGCAGCACAGCGTGACACCGTTGCACCCTGCACATGTGATATGCCGGTCGGGTAATGGGACTTGGCACTGGGGGGGGGTAGCGGCTGAGGACACGGCGGAAGAAGAGGTGGTAGAGGCGGACATCTTTTCTGGACCAAGGACGTGCAAACGTGGAGGCAAAAGCGGCGTGACCCTGTCCAAGTTGCTGGTGCGGCTGTGCCGGCACCACGTTCACCCAGTGGGCCGTAAATGACATGTACTGTCCCTGACCGTAGTTACAGCTCCACACGTCGGCGCTGCCGTGCACTTTGGCAGAGACCGACATGCTCAAAGACTGGCCCACCATCTCTTCTACATGTGAATGCAGGGCTGGCACTGCCTTTTTGGAGAAGAAATGCCGGCTTGGCACTCTCCACCGCGGCGCGGCACAAGCCATCATTTCTCGGAAAGGTGCTGAGTCCACCACTTGGAAAGGGAGGGACTGCAGCACCAGCAACTTGGACAGGAGGACGTTCAGCTTTTGCACCGTCGGGTGCGTGCTCGCAAACTGTTGTCTCTTGGAAACGGATTCCAAGAAAGACTGCTGACGGAATCCGTGAAGAGGAGTAGCAGGAGAAGGAGCATCTGAACAAGCGGAAGATGCCAACGAGCGACAACTCCCTTCAGCAGAGGGTGTTGGAGCCTTGACTGGCTGATAGAGGGCGATTGACGTCGGGTGACGGAGCAAGTAACGGAGCGGGTGATGGAGCGGGGGCTGGGGCAGGCAGAACCGCCGTATCTTTATCACGGTTTTCCCAGGCCACCGAATGGCGACGCTGCATATGCTGACGCAACGCTGTAGTCCCAACATGGGCCCCCTGGCCACGCTTGACTTTCTGGCCACATAGTCGACATACGGCTACGTTTACTTCCTCGGGCGGCTTGACGAAAAATTGCCACACCGCCGAGTAGGAAACTTTGCCCCCGCTACTCCTCACTGGCTGACTGCTACTTCCTCCGTGCACACTGGCACCTACTGGCCGTGGTGGTAGGCTGCAGTGGAGCTGGTGCTCTACTCCGTGGCCGTTTGCCTCCACTGACACTGCTGCGACCCTGCTGCCTCCTGGGCAACCCACCGACTGTTTTGCTCGCTGCCAAGCTGGCACCCTCTTCTCCTGATGATGCGGAAGCAATCGCCTGATGACGACGAGGCTGCCAAGTGCGATCAGCCTCATCATCATCAATTAGGGTCTCCGCCTCACTACTAGCCCCCTCGGCTGCGTGTGGGGTCAGGAGACAGACCTGTCTCTAGACCGGCTACCGAGCCACTCTCCTCGCCAGTACTTCTTCGCCTGGCTGCTGAAGAGGCGGATGTCTCCCCCCCGTTCCTGACCGCCCTCTGTTAGCTCTTCCTCACTGTACAGTGGGGCTGAGCCCAGAGCATGTGATACTTCGCTTGGTGAGGGAACACCAAAGGACAGGGGCAGGTAGAGGACACGTGATTTCAGTGGGCTTGCTCCCGGGCCATGCCAACTAACGGTTGTGTCTGACGTACCCACCGACCGTTGGCTGTAGGTGTCAGAGGTGACCTGGGAAGAGGAAGACGACCGAGCCAACCAATCGATGACGGCAGGGTTGTCGGTGGAGACACGACCGCTGGATGACACCGGGGAGCACTGGCCTCTGGCTGCGACTAGTGCTGCCTCGACCCCTTCCTCTGCTGCCACGTCTGCTCGCTCCTGAAACATTGCCTCCTCTGCCACTCCTCTGCGTGTTGTCTGACATACTCTTTAATTCAACGATTCTGTGTCCCTGAGTAACGATTCTGTGTCCCTGAGTAACAATTCTGTGTCTGTCCCTGAGTAACAATTCTGTGTCCCTCAGTAACAATTCTGTGTCCCTCAGTAACAATTCTGTGTCTGTCCTCTGAGTAACAATTCTGTGTCCCTGAGTAATAATTCTGTGTCTGTCCTGAGTAACAATTCTGTGTCTGTCCTCAGTAACAATTCTGTGTCCCTCAGTAACAATTCTGTGTCCCTCAGTAACAATTCTGTGTCTGTCCCTGAGTAACAATTCTGTGTCCCTCAGTAACAATTCTGTGTCCCTCAGTAACAATTCTGTGTCTGTCCCTGAGTAACAATTCTGTGTCCCTCAGTAACAATTCTGTGTCCCTCAGTAACAATTCTGTGTCTGTCCCTGAGTAACAATTCTGTGTCCCTGAGTAACAGTTCTGTGTCCCTGAGTAACAATTCTGTGTCCCTGAGTAACAGTTCTGTGTCCCTGAGTAACAATTCTGTGTCCCTGAGTAACAATTCTGTGTCCCTCAGTAACAATTCTGTGTCCCTCAGTAACAATTCTGTGTCCCTCAGTAACAATTCTGTGTCTGTCCCTGAGTAACAATTCTGTGTCCCTCAGTAACAATTCTGTGTCCCTCAGTAACAATTCTGTGTCCCTCAGTAACAATTCTGTGTCTGTCCCTGAGTAACAATTCTGTGTCCCTGAGTAACAGTTCTGTGTCCCTGAGTAACAATTCTGTGTCCTTGAGTAACAATTCTGTGTCCCTAAGTAACGATTCTGTGGCCCTAAAGTCTCTTTGGCCCTAACTCTGTCCCTAATACAGAGAGGTCTGTCTCTGTTGAATGACCGGAGGCTAATGGAGAATTCTAAGATGGCCGCAATTTATAGCTCGACCATTACACAGTGCTGGCTGGCTGGCTGCTGATTGGCTAATGCGATCACATGTCATGAATGAATGCATTATGGGTCAGAGCGCCTTGTCTGCGCGCCTTCCCAGAGATCCCCGCTCCGTCGCCACACATGTCGCCGCCGTTTTTGGAAAATTTCGATTCGCGCATCCGAAGTCTGCTAATTTTCGGATTCGGCGCAAATCAAATTTTTCCTAAAATTCGAAACGAATTCCACTTCGCCTACTTTGATTCGCTCATCTCTATTATGTATATTGGCTGAGTGTTTAGCTAGTTTCTCACCATGTCCTTTGGGAAGTTCAGAGACTAAAGCCACTGGCTGCTTTCACAAAGCATTATTTGAATCAAGCGATAGGGGGTTCCCATCAATATTGATAAGCTAAACTCTTCAAAGCAGAAGATATAGCTTTCTCCCACAATTTGGAATTGCTACAGATGTGATGTTGTCAAGCTTGGAACACATTCCCAACTGGCTGCTGTATGTCCAATGACTGAGAGGAAGCTCCCAGGTGTTTCTTTACTCAATGCATACTACTCTCTCTCCACTTTTGCACAATCAACTGTCTACAGCTCTCTTTTGAGAGTAAAATGCAGTATTGGTATTTCAAAATCATCGTTATTTTCTTTACCAAGCCTCTCCATCAGTGGTCTCCAAACTGCAGCCCTTTGCTTGCCTCTATCTGGTCCTCGGGGTACTTTTTCTCCTCTTGATACCAACAAGGAGGCACGATTTCTTACACATGCACCAACAGTGGGGAACCATTGCTCTCACTGACACCAACAATGGGGCATTTTTCCTTCCACTGACACTAAAGATGTTGCACAAATTCCTCCAACTGATATAAACAATTAGGCTTTATTCCTACAAGTAATGCCAATTACTTCCCTCTGATACCAATGATGGGGCTCTATTAATCCCACTGTCACCAATGATGGGGCACTATTCATCCCACTGTCACCAATGATGCGGCACTATTCCTCCTTCTGATACCAATGATGGGGCACTATTGCTCCCTCTGATACCAATAAGGAGGCACTATTCCTCCCACTGACACCAATAATTGGGCACTATTCCTCAAACTGACACCGATGATGGGGCATTATTCATCCCACTAATACCAATGATGCGGCAGTATTCCGCCAACAAACACCAGTGATGGGGCACTATTCCTCCAACTAATACCAATGACTGGACACTATTCCTCCTTCCACTGACTACAAACTTTGTCATGTTTTTACTTTTGCTGGGACACTTTCTACTCCCACTGGCCACTCTTGCCCCCCTAAAGTCTGAAGGACAGTAAGCTGGCCCTTTTTTTAGAAAGTTTGGAGACCCCTGCTCTACATGAAAGAAAAAAATTGTCCCAACTAATGAAAAAGAAAAATCAAGAAAGAGGCAAACACATTAATATGTCAAATGTGTTGATGAAACAATCAATATTCTTCTAATTTTAATATATTTATCAAGCTGAAATCCTCCTTTTGGCGTTTGACTTTTACATGGGAAAAAGAATAGTGTGCATCTGGAACGTGTTGCAAGATAGTGTGAAAGGCCAACAGATTTCATACCATAAAAAGCTCCTAGGTGTTTCCAATCTCAGTTCAGACTGCTTTCAATTCAGCTACACCAGGTGCGGAAGGACTGTGTTAAGTAGCCATTGCACTGCAGTCGCACTGCAAGACAAGGCAAAATGCCTTGTCTCCTACTTGGCTTATTCATGCCACTGCAATGTGCTGGTGTGCAGTAAAAAAATATGCAATGCATTCATTTTTTTAATGCATAGCAGTTTGATGCAATCCACCACCTCGCTACGATAAGTGATATTATCTAAAACATATAAAATACTTCGAAGATCTGGTAATTGCCAATGTATGATTATTTCCTTTTTGGAGTAGCAATATTTTAAATGTAACACCTTAACTGTAAAGAGGTGTAGTTTCAGATATAGAGATCAAAATATTAGTTATACACATAGAGGACAGAAAAATAACTATAAATACACTGCTCAAAAAATTAAAGGAAAACACATCAGATCTCAATGGGGAAATATCTCATGCTTGATATCTATACTGATATGAACTTGGGTAATGTGTTAGGAACGTAAGGATGTCCCATCGTTTGATGGAAATGAAAATAATCGACCTACAGAGGACTGAATTCAAAGACACCCCAAAAATCACAGTGAAAAAATAATGTAGCAGGATAGTCCGTTTTACTGAAATTTCATTGCAACAACTCAAAATGGTACTCGGTAGTTAGTATGGACCCCACGTGCTTGTTTGACAACATCGGGGCATGCTCCTAATGAGATGATGGCTGGTGTCCTGGGGTATTTCCTCCCAGATCTGGACCAGGGCATCACTGAGCTCCTGGACAGTCTGAGGTGCAACCTGGAGGCATTGGATGGACCGAAACATGATATCCCAGAGGTGTTATATTGGATTAAGGTCAGACGAACGTGGGGGCCATTCAATGGTATCAATTCCTTCATCCTCCAGGAACTGCCTGCATACTCTCCCCACATGAGGCCGGGCATTGTCGTGCACCAGGAGGAACCCAAGACTCACCACACCAGGAGGAACCCAGGACACAGTGCACCAGTGTAGGGTCTGACAATGGGTCCAAGGATTTCATCCTGATACCTAATGGCAGTCAGGGTGCCATTGTTTAGCCTGTAGAGGTCTGTGCGTCCCTCCATGGATATGCCTCCCCAGACCATAACTGACCCACCACCAAAACGGTCATGCTGAATGATGTTACAGACAGCATAACATTCTCCAGACCCTTTCACTCTGTCACATGTGCTCATGGTAAACTTGCTCTCATCTGTGAAAAATGCATGTCGCCAGTTGCAGACCTGCCAATTCTGGTGTGCAATTGCCAATCAAGCTCTACAGTGCCAGGCAGTGAGCACAGGACCAACTAGCGGACATCGGGCCCTCAGGCCACCCTCATGAAGCCTGTTTCTGATTATTTGGTCAGAGACATTCACACCAGTGGCCTGCTGGAGGTCATTTTGTAGGGCTTTGGCAGTGCTCATCCTGTTCCTCCTTGCACAAAGGAGCAGATACCGGTCCTGCTGATGGGTTAAGGACCTTCTACGGCCCTGTCCAGCTCTCCTAGAGGAACTGCCTGTCTCCTGGAATCTCCTCCATGCTTTTGAGACTGTGCTGGGAAACACAGCAAACCTTCTGGCAATGACACGTATTGATGTACCATCCTGGAGGAGTTGGACTGCCTGTGCAACCTCTGTAGGGTCCAGGTATGGCCTCATGCTACCAATAGTTCACTGACCCTAGCCAAATGCAAAACTAGTGAAAAACTGTCAGAAAAGATGAGTAAAGAAAAAATGTCAGTGGCCTCCACCTTTAAAGCCATTCCTGTTTTGGAGGTTGTCTCACTATTGCCCATCTAGTGCAACAATTAACACCAAAGCAGCTGAAACTGATTGACAACCCCTTCTGCTACTGCTGACCAGATCAATGTCCCAGGAGTTTCATTGACTTGATGCTAGAATATGATTAAAAAGTGTTCCTTTCATTTTTTTTTAGCAGTATATATATATATATATAACTAATAATTTGCATACCTAAAGTAGAGCTCCACCCAAAAGGGGAAGTTACGCTTTAAGTACTGGTCCCCTGCTCCCTGTGAGGAATTGGCACCTTTGGGGAGTAGGTACCCGATTTTGACAGGTCCCCGCTCCCAATGTCGCTGCGATCGTCTAGGCGATTGGAAGATGTCCCACAAAACTACGGGATCAATCACAAGGCGCAGTGCTACTCGCACATGTGCAGTGGGCACCTGACTGTGAAGCCGCAAGCTGTTATAGCCAGTTGCCCACGCTTAGGATGCCGACATCTGGGAGAAAGGTCAGCCGATGAGGGGCTGTGGTGATTACACAGCTGGATCATGGGACAGATGAGTGGCTGGGTTTTTTTTTAACCATTTCTTGTCCGGACACTTTTACCCCCTTCCTGTCCAGGCCAATTTTCAGCTTTCAGCACTGTTGCACTTTGAATGACAATTGCGCGGTCATGCAACACTGTACCCATATGAATTTTTTAGCATTTTTTGAGACAGATAAAACTTTATTTTGGTGGTATTTATTCACCACTGGGATTTTTATTTTTTTTTTTTGCTATATAAATGAAAATGTCCAAAATTTAAAAAAAAAAAGTATTTTTCTTGGCCAAAATTTATTCAGCTTTCTTTTTAGTAAAAAAAAAAAAAACCCAAATTAGCTTATAACCAAAAATTATAATTTTTTACAAATGTTTTTTTACATTTTTATTTTATATTATTATTTTATTATATAATTTTTTGTATATATTATATACACCCTATATATTATATAATTATTATTATGTTTTTTTTTTACATACTGTCACCCTTGCAGTACAGTGTCACCATAGTGACACTGTACTACTTGTGGGGGGTGATGAAATTTTTTTTTTTTCACTGTATATACCCATATAGGCTGTAAAAGCAATCATGTCTCCTTCTCTCTGACTGCATTCTTGCAGCCACTGAGAAATACTGTGTGAGCTGTGATTGGTCACAGCTCATCACATGGTACAAGGCTGATGTGAATAGATTTCACACGTAGTAAGCAATGATGTCAGAAGTGACATCTTGCTTACTACTCTGCATGTGATCACTGATTGGCAAATCAGTGATCACATGATCGGGACCTCACACAGAGGACACAGTGGGCACCGGATTACGGTACTGCGTGCTCCCAGGAAGAGCGCACAATCCAAAATGACGGGCACCGTTTATGAACGGCAACCCACCCCTAGACTGCCACCATCCGGCCGTTTATATGCAGTGGCCAGACGGCAAGTGGTTAAAGTCAGCAGCTACAGTTTTTGTAGCTGCTGACTTTTATTTTTTGTAGGTTTGACTGGAGCTCCGCTTTAACTACTTATTGAATATAAATGCTCTACAACACACATTTCCAACAATGAATATTACACATAAACAACCTGTATTAACCACTTGCCCTCCAGAGGATTTACCCCCCTTCCTGACCAGGTCATTTTTTGCCATATGGTGCTGCATTACTTTAACTCACAAATGCGCGGTCATGCGAAGCTGCACCCAAATGAAGCTTACATCCTTTTTTTCCCCCGCAAATACAGCTTTCTTTCGGTGATATTTGATCACCTCTGCATTATGTTTGCTCTATAAAAAAAAAAAGCAGACAATTTTTTTAAAAAACTACATTTTTGACTTTTTGCTATTAAACATGTCCAGTAAAAAAAATGTAAAAATCAAATTTCATCATAAATTTAGGCCAAAATGTATTCTGCTCCTTGTCTTTGCTAAAATAAGTGTAAATTAATTGGTTTACGTAAAAGTTATTGCGTTTACAAATGGCGGTATATATACTGGAATTTTTTCTTTCTACTAGTGATGGTTGCGATCAGTGACATATAGCGGGACTGCAGTGGGCATTCTTAAACTGGGTGGGAACTAACTGCCACTGACATCCCCAGTGACACTAATACAGTGATCAGTGCTAATAAAAAGCACAGACACTGTACTAATGACACTGGGCAGGAAGGGGTTATCATCTATGGCGATCAAAGGGTTAACTGTGTGCTGTGTTTTACTAGGGAGACATGCTGTGCAGAGAGATACAAAGCAGCATGTCCTTGCTGGCAGGAGAGAGACCTGTGTTGTTTACAGAAAGGTGTCTTCCCTGTCAGCTTGCTCCGACGCTCACCGAGTGCCGTCCGGGACCCAGTAACTGACACTAACCACCAATAGCGGAACGGGTAGGGGGCGCGTGTGCAAATATATATGTGATTTTGAGCAGCCCTGCCGCTCTATAGCAGTACTTCTACTATAGGGCGGCGGGCGAGCGGTTAAACATTTCTCTCCTACGTGTAAAAGTCAGCATTTTATTGCTGGAAAATGACTTAGAATCCCCAAACATGATCTATTTATTTAGGTGGAGATCGGTGTGATCACATGCTTTTATGAGCCAGTAATGGCTTGTTTACATCTGGGTGAAACCGGAAATTAGGAAATACTCATTTCCTGTTACTTAGACCATAGAGATGAACGGGGAAGTTTCGGTCCTTGGTCATCTCTATGGTAAGCCCACCGCCTTCAGTCCTGGGCTCCCTGGTGGGACGGAAGAGCCCAGGTAGACACCGGAAGGCAGTGGGAGAGAGAGAGGAGACTGAGTTTGCATTCCCATACAGGTGACTCACAGTGTGCATTAGAAGCTGCAGCAAATCAAATACAATTGTGTAAATTAATTGGTTTACGTGAAAGTAATAGTGTTTACAAATGGCGGTATATATACTGGAGTTTTTTTTTTATTAGTAATGGCGGCAATCAGCGACTTATAGCGGTACTGCGGCGGGCATTCTGACAGTGGGGGGGAACTGACTTAGTGTCACTGACATCCCCAGTGACACCAAACAGTGATCACTGCTAATAAAAAGCACTAATATATAATGTGTTGCGCTCCCAATGACAATATCTTTGATGTATATATCTAATTAACCTTGCTATGCAAAATGATTTTCAGGTATTAAAAAATATGCAAAATCAAACTATGTGAGTGATTTAAAAAAATATAAACCACTATAGTGTATATAAATTAGATAATAATAACCGCAAAACCAATGAATAGTGCATAGTGAACTAAAATATATAACTGAAAATATACACATCATGAATAGTGAAATACTCAAAAAAAATTATATATATACTGCCAAATAATTGTGATATAAATGTCCTTTAAATACAGTGACTTTGTGCTTGAATAAATCTTGATTTGGTGACTTTTTGTGAATCTGTGACTTTCTTTGAATCCTCAATTGGTAAAGATGTATGCTCACCTCCTTGTTAGCCTGCAATTAGGCTATACACACTTGTGGTTCACCTCCTATGGAACCTGCTTAGATGGAATTCCTCTTTTGTGAATGGTAAGAACGTGGATATGCGTTATCCTCAGATTGCCCATGTGCGTTTTTCCATATGTGGGAACAAATTGCCAGACATGGTGTTTTATCCTTATAAAAAGGTTTCTCCTTTATTGCTTGCCAACAGGTACACTCACATATGTGATATGCGGTCTAGGATGAATTGCTCAGCTCTAATGATCCGCCAGCCGTCCTGCCATGCACCCGCCGTCTGTCCGATACTCCAGCTCTCTCCGAGTGACACCGCAGCCCCACCCCTACGCGTTACGCCACTGGTCACGTGGCTTCATCAGGGGGTTGTGATCACAACCCCCTGATGAAGCCACGTGACCAGTGGCGTAACGCGTAGGGGTGGGGCTGCGGTGTCACTCGGAGAGAGCTGGAGTATCGGACAGACGGCGGGTGCATGGCAGGACGGCTGGCGGATCATTAGAGCTGAGCAATTCATCCTAGACCGCATATCACATATGTGAGTGTACCTGTTGGCAAGCAATAAAGGAGAAACCTTTTTTATAAGGATAAAACACCATGTCTGGCAATTTGTTCCCACATATGGAAAAACGCACATGGGCAATCTGAGGATAACGCATATCCACGTTCTTACCATTCACAAAAGAGGAATTCCATCTAAGCAGGTTCCATAGGAGGTGAACCACAAGTGTGTATAGCCTAATTGCAGGCTAACAAGGAGGTGAGCATACATCTTTACCAATTGAGGATTCAAAGAAAGTCACAGATTCACAAAAAGTCACCAATCAAGATTTATTCAAGCACAAAGTCACTGTATTTAAAGGACATTTATATCACAATTATTTGGCAGTATATATATAATTTTTTTTGAGTATTTCACTATTCATGATGTGTATTATTTTCAGTTATATATTTTAGTTCACTATGCACTATTCATTGGTTTTGCGGTTATTATTATCTAATTTATATACACTATAGTGGTTTATATTTTTTTAAATCACTCACATAGTTTGATTTTGCATATTTTTTAATACCTGAAAATCATTTTGCATAGCAAGGTTAATTAGATATATACATCAAAGATATTGTCATTGGGAGCGCAACACATTATATATTTATGACTTTTTGGACACCCAGGTAGTGTTGTGTTGAGTGTTTGCGATCTATTGGACAGTGTCCATTCCCTTGGTTTTGGAGGTCAGTGTTGAGTGTTTGCGATCCTATATATAATTTGGACGGTTCCATTCCCTTGGTTTTGAGAGGTTAATATTTGGTGGATACAGACTGGCTCGCAAGTTACACAGACATTTGCCAATTAATAAAAAGCACTGACACTGTACTAATGGCAACTGGGCAGGAAGGGGTTAACGTGGGGTGATCAAAGGGTTACCTGTGTGCTTTACACTGTAAGCACACTGCTTTGTATGGCTGTGCTATGCAATGCCATACAAAGCAGTTTGCAGGAGCTGACAGGGGAGAGATCCATGTTGTTTATATACAGGTGACGCCCCCGTCGATAATACTTGGTGATCACTGGGTGCCGTGTGGAAATCACCGACTGGATCCGGTGATTGACAGCCGAGGCCGCAAATGGTGGCGCGCATGCGTCCCCCTGCCGGGAACTGCCACCCTGTAGCAGTGTTTCTCACATATACAGGATTTTGCGCACCCCCTGTTAACCTCCCTGGTCTGAGGTCGCAGATGTGTTTCTGCTATAGGGCGGCACAGAAGCGGTTAACCTCCCTGGTGGTCTGATTACGTCAATATTTTTGAATGTCAAAGCGGTACATTGTTTTGCATGAAAATTAGTTGTTTTATATTGTAGGCCTGTAATTCTTAGGAATAACTCACTGAAATCTGTCCGAACAAGAGTCGAGTAAACATCCCGGGTATGATAAAGCTTGAAACACAAAATCATAAATTATAATATAATAAAGAATTATAAAAAATAATAATACATTTAATGCAATAATGCCATCAAACCACCAAAAACACTGAAATTTGAAATTGAGCACCAAGTTCGCACATCGCTGAGCTGAGTTGCAGAATCGTCTCTGTCATCACTTTCATTGTCTGATGACGAATTTCCCTACGAATTACTATTGCTCAAATCTTCAAGTGATTCTAATTCACGATCGCTGTTTTCTAGAGGGTCTAAAAAAACTGCTTTTGACCTAAAAGGGATGCTTTTTGGATGCCGTGGACGTTCTAAAGTGCGGGCAGGGCACTGGGACAAAGCACTCGGGACAAAAATTTAGGTGAAATGGTTTGATACAGTAATGGAATCCTAACAGGTTACAATTTATTGTGTGTATGTCATGTTTTTACTGTTTTGAATCTCCCGCCAGTTCCGCCCCCGCTGCGTCGCAACGCTTGCAGGGAAGGAAACCCGGAAGACAGATGCCGGCATCGGCCGATGGGCACAGCGGGAGAGGACATCATAAGTTACACTACAGTGCAGGGGCGGACTGACAACTCATGGGGCCCTCGGGCAATAGAGGATCATGGGGCCCCAGTGTCCTCGTCCACACTCAAAAAAGCCTATGAAAGGTACCAGGGGCATCTCATGGGGCCCCCTACTGACCCTGGGCCTTCGGGCAGTGCCCGAGTACCCCATTAATCAGTCCACCCCTGCTACAGTGTATTCCTGAGTGTAGCTCAGGGGTTACCGCTTTTGGTACTGAAAATGAACCCCGAGCCACACTTGGGATTACCGCCAGGGAGCTGAATATTCAGAAATCCTTTCTAGCAATAGGATGCTGTGTCAGGATAAAATGTTTTACAGATACCTTGTAACATTATGTTACGATTTAAAATCATATACTTATAAATGCGTCCATGATACTTGTAAGGGAATTCCTGTACGGCGACCGGCGCATAGAAATGAACAAGGGCGCATTGCGAATAAAAATGAGCATAGGGTCGCACATGCATGCAAGAATGCGCGCACACGGGAGTGTGCCCACAGTTTCTGGCGCCAGACTATTTAACCCCTTCACGCCTAATGGTAAAACAAATCTCAACGCCTAAGCACAATTCTGCAACGTTGACCTGTGTTAGTAAAACCATCCATATCATCACAACTACTTTGTCCATCCGGGTGAATTATACCGCGTTTTTTTTCGGGACAAATTGGGCTTTCATTTGGTGGTAAATGGTAATGGATAGCTCCTAATTTTTTTTTTATTATCAAAGGAAAACTGGCCCAAAATAAATTACTACCATAACCTATCACCAAAGAGCAGCCCAAAATAAATTCTCCAGCTCTTGACGATCGCAGTGATACCTCACATGTGTATGTTATTTGTTGTTTGTACCCGTAGTACAGCCCAGAAACAATGGTGCGCATTTTGTTTTTTGTCTTTTTTTTTTACCTAAAACACACTGACACCAAATTTTTATTTAAATCCTGACCTTTGACCCTGACCCAAAAAATAACCCTGGCACTGAACTAGATCAAACCTTGATCTAGGTATTTTTTATTTTATTTTTTAATATTTATCTTTTTTTTTTTACAAACATTTTTCTTTTCTCTCTATGCCAGGAGTTAGAGAGATACAATGTGTCTCTCTTCTCCATTCATAGAGAGAGGAAAAAAAAAGGGGGCCGGGCTGCACAGTGACTGATCACTGTGATAGCCAATCAGAGGCTATCACAGCGATCATGTGACCCGGAATCGGGGCTCTCAGTGCGGCGCGCTCCCAGCACAAAGACAGGTACGCAAATATGTGGCCCCGACGGAAAAAAAGCCCAGTCTGTGAGGCCGCATATTTGTGTGATGTTGGCGTCAAGGGGTTAAAGGAGGCTCTTACTCTCTGTCAGTGCTGACTGGTCTTCAGCTAATTCCCTGTGTCCTTCTGTATCCGGTGTGTATCCGTTCTCCACCCGGCTTGCCATTGACCTGCTCTTGGATCCTGTTTATGCTTCTGCTCATCGGTTCCAGATCCTGGCTTCCTCCTGACCTTGTCCCTGTCTGATATTCCGGTACCTCATCACATGCTCGTTGCTGACCCTGGCTATTACTCTGACTATGCTTCCGGCTCCAGTTTGGCTCCATAGCCCTGCCGAGTGCTTGTCCTGGCTATCCGTTATATCAGCTCCGGTTGTCCCGGTGTGCTCTGGCCCAGGGGCAGACTGACCATTTGGAAACTCGGGCACTGCCCGAGGACCCGGGGTCAGTAGGGGACCCCATGAGATGTACCGAGGATCAGGCAGAAGGATGGTCAGGCAAGCCAGGGGTTCAACAGGAGACGATCAGCAGAGGTCAGGATCAAAGCAGGGTCAGCAACGAGGCAGGAACACAGGATACCAGGTACAGGGGCTTATGGGAAACATACACCAAGGCCATGATCACAGGCCTGGTCATTCCTTAAATACACCTCCTGCAATCAGCCCCAGGTGTTGGCTGACTACAGGAGTGAGCTTCTGGCTGCTGAGAGCACCCGCTGGTCAGCCCTGGTACTGCAGCCCACACGGCAGGTGAGTCCCACCACCAGTGCTGAGTCCATTCCTGACAAGAGCATACACAATAGGATTACATCTTTATAGCCCCTTTGTTGCAGAGTTTTAAGATCACATCAGTAAAACTTTTTCAGAGTATGTAGAGGCTGCGTAGAGGAAACAAAAGTTAGAGGCGGAAAAGAAAGAAAAGAAGAGCAGAAGACACAACAGGAACGTTAATAACAGTTGCAGGTGGGCCATCAAGATAGAAGTCTGAATTGACGAGGTCGGCCTCTCTTGTATCTCCAACCCAGGCCCCACTGAAGGTGGAACATATGGTGCCAAGGGACAGGAGAAACATGAGTGCCTGAGGGTGTTGATTGCAGAACTTGTGGCTGGAGGTGTAGCCTCGGTAAGTCAAGCAGGGCATCCAGTCAGGAACAGAGGAGATGCTGGAACGGCCAGCTGAGTTTGAGGAAGCACTCCACTGGAACTGCAAGATCTGGGTACATGGCTTGCCGGAAATTCTGATAAACGTGAAGCCGGAGCAGGGCCGGACTGACAACTCATGGGGCCTCCGGCAATAGGGGATCATGGGGCCCGTGTCCTTGCCTAAACTCAGCACTGGTGGTGGGACTCACCTGCCGTGTGGGCTGCAGTACCAGGGCTGACCAGCGGGTGCTCTCAGCAGCCAGAAGCTCACTCCTGTAGTCAGCCAACACCTGGGGCTGATTGCAGGAGGTGTATTTAAGGAATGACCAGGCCTGTGATCATGGCCTTGGTGTATGTTTCCCATGAGCCCCCTGTACCTGGTATCCTGTGTTCCTGCCTCGTTGCTGACCCTGCTTTGATCCTGAGCTCTGCTGATCGTCTCCTGTTGAACCCCTGGCTTGCCTGACCATCCTTCTGCCTGATCCTCGGTACTGCTGCGCTGCCGCTACCTGCTGAACCTGGCTTGTGACCCCGACCATTCTCTGCTTGCTCCTCCTGTACCACGCTGCCCGCACGATACTGACCCGGCCTGTCTGACTACGCTTACTTCACCCAACGATCCATCCCACACGGATCACCTTTAGTAAGTCTGCCTGCCTCTTCCCATCAGACTCCGTTCCTGCACTCCCCTGCCAGTACTCTCTACCACAGCCGGACGCACTCAGGGGTCGCGACCTGGTTCCAGTCTGCACCAAGTTCATCCCCACCATCAGGGGCCCTGGTGAATAGCAGGCTGGGACTTAGACCCCGCGCCCTGAGGAAATCCGTGCTGTGGGCTGCTAGAGACATTGCCAGGCGGCACCTGACAGTACCTTACGGCCTGCCTGACCATTCCACCTCTCCAGCCTGACTACGCCTGTGTTCCTGAAGCCTGCTACTTTCCTGTGTCAGAAAAAATGAGGAAGGGTTGTAACAGCGCAAACACTGCAAAGTCCTGGGAAATGGTAGTATGGGTGATGGTGGTATTAGTGGCTACTGTATGAAGAGCGTAGGATTCCGTGTGGCACTGAGGGCAAGGCTTCCAAATAAGCTGTAGCAACTTCTGTAGATGAGAAAAAGGAGAGAAGCGCCTCTAAGTGCAATAAGTCTTTTAATTCAAGTCTAAATGTAGAAACACTCACATGTGTGAAGTAATCATAAGCATAAAAACCGTGGTTAACAATAGTTAACGGTGGGGTGGTAACCCGGGTGAAGAACCGTCATCTCTCTGCGATGTGGGGAGGTCAGCTCTCGGCTGGAACAGCGTGGTGGCTGGAGGGGGAACAGTGGTGAGGCCAGCCTTCATGCACGTCCTCCCTCAAAGCCGGATGGAACGCACGCTGGAACGTAGCGGCGGCGTGGCCGTGATGACGTCAGATCCCAGGGTGCACTGCGACGCGTTTCGGAGCATGCACTGGCCGTGGAAGGCGGAAGTGCACTCCTTTTTCAAGCAGCTTGAAAAATCTGACGATCTGACAAATCTGGGATCTGACGTCATCACGGCCACGCCGCCGCTACGTTCCAGCGTGCGTTCCATCCGGCTTTGAGGGAGGACGTGCATGAAGGCTGGCCTCACCACTGTTCCCCCTCCAGCCACCACGCTGTTCCAGCCGAGAGCTGACCTCCCCACATCGCAGAGAGATGACGGTTCTTCACCCGGGTTACCACCCCACCGTTAACTATTGTTAACCAC